GGCGGAGTAGCAGCAGCAGCAGCAACAGGACAAGGAGAGAAAGCCCGCCGCTGCGGCACGGCGGGGAGGGGGGTAGCGTCGGCCGCGCCCCGCCTCCGCGCTCTTGCCCCGGCCAGGGCAGCAGGAGGCGAGGGCCGCCATGTTAACCTTCGACAAGAGGCGGGAGGAGGCCCGTTGCTCCTCCTCCTGCTCCTCCTCCTCCTCCGCCTCCTCTTCCTCCTCCTCCTGCTGCTGCTGCTGCTGTTGCTCCTCCTCCTGCTCCTCCTCCTCCTCCTCCTCCTCCTCCTCCGTTTGTTCTAACCTCCTCCTCGTACACTCGTTCCTCCCCCTCCTTGCTCCTCCTCCTTCTCCTCCTCCTCCTCCCTCCTTCCGCATCCTCTTAATCCTCCTATTCCTCCTCCTCTTCTCCTCGTCCTCCTCTTCCACCACCGCGTCTCATGGCCTCACCGCCCTTTCTCTCCTCCCCTCCTGTTGCTCCTCCTCCTCCTCCGCCTTTTCCTCCACCTCCTATTCCTACTCTTCGTTCCGTCCTCCTCCCTCTTCTCCTCCTCCTCTTCCTCCTGTTCCTCCTCCGTCTTCCTCTCCTCCTCCTCCTCCTCGTCCTCCTCCTCCCCTCCTCACTCTACTCCTGCTCTTCCTCCTGCTCCTCCGCACTCCTTCCTCCTCCTCCTCTTTCCCTCCGCCTTCTCCTTTCCCTCTCTTCCCTCCTCCAACCCTCCTCCTCTCCTCCTCCTCCTCCTCCTCCTTCTCCCCCTTCTCCTCCTCCTCCTGTTCCCCCTAATCACCTTTTCCTCCTCCTCCTCTTCATCTTCCTTCTCCTCCTTCTCCTCCTCTTCCTCCTCCTCCCTTTCCTCCTCCCCCTTCTCCTCCTCTACCTTTCGTCATTTCCTCCTCCTCCTCCTCCTCCCTATCCTCTCCTCCTCCTCCTCATCTCCCTTCTCCTCGCTCCTCCCTGTTCCCCCTCTCCTACCTCACCTGTTCCTTCCCCTTTTCGTATTCCTTCTTCTCCTCCTCCCTCCTCCTCCTCTCCTCCTTCCCTCCTCCTCCTCCTCCTATCGTCCTCTCTCTCCCTCCCTCCCCGTCCTCCTCCCCCTCATCATCATCATCATCATCATCATCATCATCATCATCATCATCATCATCATCATCATCATCATCATCATCATCATCATCATCATCCTCATCAGCATCATCATCATCATCATCATCATCATCAGCAGCATCATCGTCATCATCATCATCAGCAGCATCATCATCATCAGCATCAGCATCAGCATCAGCATCAGCATCATCATCATCATCAGCAGCAGCATCAGCATCAGCATCAACATGATCACCATCACCATCACCAGCATCATCATCATCATCATCGTCATCGTCATCGTCATCATCATCATCATCATCATCATCATCACCATCACCATCATCATCATCATCATCAGCATCATCATCATTATCAGCAGCATCATCATCATCACCATCACCATCATCAGCATCAGCAGCATCATCATCATCATCATCATCATCATCAGCAGCATCATCATCATCATCAACATCATCATCATCATCCGTATCCACTTGGGCTCAAGCTGATTATCCATGGCTTCCCGCAGGCGCCTCCGCACTGCAGCAGCGGCGCGCAGTCGGGAGATGCTTGGCAATGGCGACGGGGGGCCGCCCACAAGCGCACGGGCGGGGCGGCCCAGCATGCGCAGCACGCAGCGCCTGAAGGCGGCGGCCGAGATGGGGGCGTCCGCGGCTTGCCGAGCTGCGCGGGCGCGGCGCCACCTTGCGGCAGAGGCCGCGGTGCGGGCGCACGCGAGGGCCCACGGAGGCTTGGGCTCCTGGCAGGACCGAGAAGCGGCGGCTCGGCCAGCTCTCCGCAGGGCTGCCGCTAGGCAACGGGTTCCCGGGGAAGCTCGGAGGCGGCGCAACGCCGCCTGGCACGCCGCGCGAACCCCCCAGGGCGGTTTCTCTGGTGCCTCGAGAGCAGGCCTCGCTTGGGCCGCGGCGGGGCCTTGCCTGGGGCCGGGAGGCGTCATGGCTTCAGGCGCTAGGCGCTGCGCGGCGGCCTCGAAGCCCTTCACCGTGAGCTTCAAGGACTCCGTCGACGCTATCGCGGAGGACGGCAGCGAACAGCTGGAGCCTCTGGAGGGCAGGCCGCGGGCGTGGTTGCCGAGGGAGACCGGGCACCTGCGGAAACTGGGGCCGGTAGCGGTCCTTGTGGGGCCCAAACAGGTGGCAGACCCTAAAAGAGGGCAGCGGACCTTGGCGCGATGCCACAGACATGCGGGTGGCCGCAGCCATCGACCAGGTCCAGCCTCCACCCTGGGCCGCGGATGCGCGGGTGGCCGAAGCCCGAGGGGAGAGAGGCCCCTCATCGGCGTCGGGGCGCTGGGACGTCCTCGGGGAGCCCACTACTGGGCAGACCCAGGAGGGGGGGGGGGGGGGGGGGGGGGGGGGGTCGAGCTCTGGGGCAAGGCCGCGGACGCGCGGGCGGCCGAAGCCCTTGACACAGCTCAGCCTCATTCGAGGGCCACGGACGCGCGGGTGGTCGAAGCCCCTGGGATGAGGGCCCCCTCCCAGCGGCTGGCGTCGGGGCGCGGAGACGTCTTTGGGGAGCCCAGGCAGGGGCAGACCCCAAAGGGATGGGGGAGGCGAGTCCTTGCGCGAGGCCGCAGACGTGCGGGTGGGCGATTCCCTCGACCGAGCTCAGCCTCCGCTCAGGGCCCCGGGCGCGTGGGCGGTCGAGTCCCTTGAGCCGAGCGCCCCCTTCCCAGGCGTCAGATGCGCTGGTGGTCGAAGCCCCAGGCGCTGGAGGCCCCCTCCCCTTCGGATCCGGGTGAACCAGCGAAGGGCCCGCACAAGCGCAAGCTCGGTCTGGGCCCAGGCGAGGACGACAGCCTCTGCAAGGACCGGCTGGAGGACCACAAGGGCATGCACAAGCGCAAGTTCGGCCTGGACCTGGACGAGGATGGAGGTTTCTTCGAGGGCGGGCTGGGGGACCCGAAGGGGCCAGTACAAGCGCGAGGTCGGCTTGGGCCTTGGCTCTGACGTGAGCGCGTGCGAGGACAGGCTGGAGGGCCTGAAGGGCTTGTGCAAGCGCAGGTTTGGTCTAGGCCTGGAAGAGGACGAGGGTCTACGCGAGGGCAGGCTGGAATACAGCGGCCATGGCGGCGGCGCAGGCTTCCTGTCTACGCGCGAGCTCCCGGAGGCGGGGGTCGCCTCTCGGACCGCCTCCACCGCGACCAGCATCCTCCTGGGGGTCCCATTCGAGGCTCCTTACCAGCTCGCGTGCGTCGCGGGCTGAGTCGCCGTGACTGCTCGGTAGTCGCTCTTCCGCCTGATTCGGCTGGGGCGGGGGGCGGCCACTCGGCACTCAAGTGAATATGCGTGGGCGCCTTGGGCGCGAGACCGTGCGTTGCCTCCGCAGGGTCGAAGGGAAACGCCTGGGTCCGAGGGGCAGCGCGAGCAGGGAGCTCTTGACCCCTCCAGCCACGAGGATCATCAGCATGAGCATCAGCATCATCATCCTCATCAGTATCACCATCATCATCATCCACCCTCCACTCCCCGTCCGCCTTCCCCCCCATCCGACGACGACGACTGCGACGGCGGCGACGACGACGATGACGGTATTGGCGGCGGCGTTGACCAGCCCATCTGGCAAGTAACCGCAGTAAGCAATTCAGACCCCCCCCCGGGGTTATCGTTAGCGCCGCACCGTAATTGAATAATTATTGGGGACCGGTTTCGCGGAACGATATCTTTAGCGCCGCGCGAAAGAAAGGAACATTGATAATTCCCGCGCCTTGGTTCGGGCGGTATCCCAGTGGGAATATTTAGGGTTCCTAGATATGCCCATTCCCCTCCTGACACGTGTTATTGCCGCTGCGACGGTAATGCTGATGACGATGATGGCGGCATTGCGAGATTGCGAGAATGTTTCAGGCGGTGTCCTTGTTTCGGCGGGCGGACTCGTCTGCGTTCAAAGCAGGTTGCGAGGTGCCAGGGTAACGCTTCCAGGGTGCTGGAGCGTCATAGTTTCGCCAGGGAGGGGGCGGGGGGGTTTTCTTAATTGCCTCTCCGGGTTATGATTGGGCCCGTCCAGACCCAGGGAGAGGGGATCGGGGGGGAGATGGGGAGACGCCAGCCTATCCCTGAAGGACAAGCAGGTGGCTGGAAGAACTGGCTATCCCCACCCTCCCCATCAGAAATCGTAGGGGGCAGGGGTAGGGTTCGCATGTAGCCCCCTAGCGATAACCATGACCAAGGTGTCACGTGACTTTGTCGACATCGATGTTGGTCATGGTCTATGCCGGCCGTCGCCGATCCGCGAGGATGATCCACACATCGACGGTGACCAGCATGGACGATTACCAAGATCGGCGCCAGCGTGTCCGCGTGCTTGTTCTTTCTCTCTGGTGGAGTCCGCGGCCGCGATTGGGGTTGGTAGTTCGCAGCGGAGCGCGCGCGGTGGTCTGTTGTGCGCACGTCCCTTGACGGCACAGCTCCCGGTGCCCACTCTGGCCGTGGCCGTCGTCGGTGTAGATTCGCCGTGCCGTGCAGAAGGATCGAGGCGCCCAGCATGCGAGTGGATTGGCCGTCGTGCCAGGTAGGCATGGGTCGCATGGGCGCTGGGCACTTCGCGCAATGAAGATTGCGAGAGGGGCTCATTGCGACAACTCGGCACGAACGAAATGGGTACGGAAAGATTGGGTACAATGCCAACCAGCAGTTCCTGTTCATTTTGGACAGGACTCGCTGTCCGCGCCGCCGCGGCCTGTGTCCATCTATAAGACAGAATGCCGTCTGCCCAACAGCGCCCTCTGCTGGTTTGGGACAACATTTGTGGTTCGGCATTGTGCCCATTATTTCCGTACCCATCTCGGGCGTCCGCAACAACGGGGTATCCGAACATGTTGTTTGCGAAGTTTTGGGCAACGCATCAAATCGATGGTGGTGCCTCTGTCGGTCGAACAGCAGTCGACGACTGCCAGGTGGCAGTTGCACATTTCTCGGTTCCAGTAATTGAGCATGTTTTGTTCTCTATCCAGTCGAGTGATGGATCTCCACAAGAGGGGGACGTCATAGTACGGAAGATGAGTCTTACATCTTCCAGATGAGCGATGTAATCAAACAAATTGATCTAATGCGCGGACGTTGCCCGCGTAAGGTCGCGCGCGAGAACACTTCTTTCCACACGGTGTGCCGCGTTCGCGGCACGCGTCAGACTTGACGTACGGCTACCGCCAACCCTCACGCAATATTTCTTTATGCGCAACACTGCTCCCTTTGGACTTGGTGCCGCCAGTGCCAGGCGGTCCAAGACAGCCAGGCGCCGGTCAGCAGGCGGTGGAATGCACCAGAGGCGAAGCGAGGCACGCAGGCGAGAAGGAAGAAGAGCGCGAGCAGAGACAAGGAGGATCAACACTCCCCTCGGACTCGCGCTTTGCCTCTCTCGCTTCCGCGCCCTCGGGCGGTCGGCCTCCTCCCCCTCCTCCTCCTCCTCCTCCTCCTCCTCCTCCTCCTCCTCCTTCTCCTCCTCCCCCTCCTCCTCCTCCTCCTCCTCCTCCCCCTCCTCCTCTTCCTCCTCCTCCTCCTCCTCCTCCTCCTCCTCCTCCTCCAGGGAGAGGCCCCGCGGGGAGGGCGCGCCGCCCGGAGGCGCTCGTCTTCGCCATGCCGCGCCCGGTCGACGACTGCCTCTAGCAGGAGCCTCTTTGTTCGGGGGCGGAAAAGAGGGGGGCAAAGTCGGATCGGGATAACTCGAAATCTCTGAGAGTCGGTGGGTTTGGAGGATGTATTGGGCGCCGCGGCCGCTCCAGAGCGTTCCGGAACGCTCTGAGAGCGCTCCGGAACGCTCTGGAGCGATTTATCCCGATCCTAGCCCTGTTTTAGGTCTCGGCACGAACGAAATGCGGGGGCGGAGAAGAGGGGGGTGATGACTAGGGAGGGGTGGATATCATGGCGCGGGCCATGATATTTTCCCAGATCTCATGGCGCCTCTTCTTATTGCATTGCGTCCCTGGCCCCCCCGCTGGGCCGCGCACCTGCCGCCGGTCATGATTTGCATCCCTCCCTCTTGGACACCCCCCTCTTGGCCGCTCCCGATTTGTGCTTCGCAACTCGTGCGCGCCGGTCGTCTGGAGTACATGCAATCCATTTTTGCTCGTCGGCGCCGGAGTCATCGAGGATATAGGACCCCCTGATGCTGGTAACATAATGAAGACGTGGCCCCACTGAGGTCCCCGTCTGTGCACTCGGGGCAATAATTCTGGGCGGTTTGGTTCGCTACACCTGCAGAGAAGACCCCTTATCCCTAATGTTTTTGGCCCTCCTAGCTTAGGTCCCCTCCCAAAGGTTGGGTTAGGGGTGTGTGTGTGTGTGTGTGTTTTATAGCTTACCACCAGAAAGTAAGCAAGTACACCTGATATCGCTGCGCGCCCCTCGCAAACACTGACAGACGGCGGTGTCGCAATTGCTTGGCTCCTAGACTGCGGGCCACTCCGTTGGCAGCCGAGGGGTATGTTTCGAGATCCCCACACATCCGTTAGGCGTTAGGACAAGGCTTTGGGCAGTCAGCTCCCCGAGGCATGAGCCACACGCGTGCGCATGGCACGCAGCAGCAGCGATTCGACTCTGAGGCCGATCGCATGAGGCGGCTGGGTGTTTTTTTCTCGAAATGAGGACTTTAGATTCCCAGACCCATTCTATTTCAAGCGCCTTCCTACTTCACTGATCGATATGTGTTTGTTGTCTGTTTGTCATACGCTGGGCGGGCCCGAACTCAATCTGCTTGATCCGCCTTCCTACTTCACGTTTCCACATACGTTTTTTTTCCGACTGGCGGGTGAGCATGCTTTCCACACGCGAAGTCACATACAGGAGCCACGGCCTCGCCCGCCTTGCCGTAGGTCGGTCGGGAGGACGATCCGCATTTTATTGGTTCGCTCGCTCGCTCGAGCCTCTTTGCAGGAGCGGGTTGTGGGGAGATGGCGCCCCTGGCGTCTCCTCTTCCACCTCCGCCTCCGCCTCCGCCTCCGCCTCCGCCTCCTACTTTTTCCTCCGTAGCCACTCTGGTTCGAGGGGCCTGCCCCTTCATCTCCCAACCTCTCTCGAGGCGCCTGGTGGCCAGGCACCAAGGGCGGCCCGCGGTCGCGCCCCCTGGCCGTCGGCGGCCGCTCCTCCCCGGCTCCCTTTTTTTTTCCCTCTCGCCATGGAGGCGATGCGCCAGGCCGTGCAGTGACCTTCGCGGGTTCCTGCTCCGATTGCTTGTATGGAGCGCAGGGGTAGCAATGGCCGCCCTGATAGCCCGCCGCTCCTGGGTACAAGCGCGACGGACCACAGCATGCTGGCCGCCCTGAAAGAGTTGATCCAGCCTCCTCTCGTGCAGCGTGGATTCTCTCACCCAGCAGCCGGACCGGGGGACCACAGGGAGCAACAAGAAGATTTCGGGAATCCGGGGCCGGATGTTACAGGCACCGAGAAGAGTTCCCAGTGCTTACAGGCAGCGCATCCAGATCTCGCGAAGCAGGCGATGGATATTTTCTCAAATGTCCGTGCTATCCAGGATCAGGCTTTACTGCAGGTCACACAGGATCGCGAGGCTGCTGAGCGTGAAATGAAGGAGGGGGTGATGGGGGCTAGACGATGAATGACGATTTAGCAGCGTTGAGGGATATTCAGATCGGCGGCACCGCTACACCTGATGCTCATGATGGTGGAGATCCGTTCTCGTGGCAGTTTCGCCGCCGCGCGCGGCTATCTGACGCGGGCAAAGCGGGTCCGCTGGTGGCCCTGGGATGCCGAATCTTTTTTTTGTTGAGGCCATTGTTCGCCGGGATGTCGCCCCGAGCGTGGCCGAGCATGTCCGCGTCAGCGACGCGCCGCGCACCCGGGATAAAGCGTTCAACCGCAGGTCGAAGGTCTTTCTCGATTTTCCGACACTCTGATGGCCGCTGCGTTCCACTTGAAGCGCGAGGTTGATGGGCCCTTTCGCTTTCCCGAATCCTGCGGGCGCCCGGGGCCTCGAGCTTCGCGCCCGCCGCGACCCCCCACGCACGCCTAGCAAGCTCTTTTACTTCTCGGCAACATGAGGCAGGTTGTGGCACGGATCTTCGGCCATGAGCGCGCGGGGCCCACGGGGCTCGGGGAATGGTTCGCGTGACCAAAGGCGCCCTCGCAGTTCCAGTCGCGGAGATTTCTATCCCCGGCGACGGCCCATCGGCCGGCAGCGCGCACGTGGTGGTGGACACTATAGGCTTGGCCGAGGTCGAGGGAGATGCACGTGCGCCCTGCCTGCAGGTCCGTTTCTTGGAGATTCGCCCCGTTAGGTGAGTGCGACAGCTGCAGCGATGGAGGGGGGCTCGACGGGGGCAGTTTTGACCCATCGGAATCTGAGAGTTCCACTGGGCCCCCGTCTCCCGAGAGCAGCTTTAGTTGTCATTCAATTGACCCAGCGCCGCGACTGGCCCCTCCTCTGGTTGGTTGCTGGCCCCGCCTCTGGTTGGTTGGAGCACCGCCCGCCCACTCCGCTCGCGCTCTGCGTTTGGAACGCTCGTGCTCGCGCGCCTGCATCATCCCCGCCTAGAGAAAGCGCGCGGCTTTTGCAGGCAAAGAGGTCGCTTGAACGGCGCCAGACCGCATGCTTCCAGGAAGCGCGCGGTCCCGGGGCCGATCTGGCCACGCTCCCGATTAGATGCGCGCGCAAACCGTGCGGCAGCTGCATGGGCGATAGCGCGGTCGGCGAAGTTCCCGCCCTCGTCTCCGATGAAACTGCCGCTATGTTCCCACGAATCGGTCATGTCGAAGTGGCGCAATGGAGGATTATCTAGCCGATTCATTCGGGACCTGCTGGGGGGCTTGCAACCGCTGGTGTTCACGTGCCCGACGCGCGTGGCCACTCGACGCAGGTGAGCAGCGCGCGGGGGGACCTCGGGCACGTTGCCCCCAGCTGCCCACAGTATGGCGCTCGCAGCTAGCGATTGGAAGCCCGTTCGCACGAAGGGTGGGGGATTCTTTCGGGGGGAGGGGCTCGGCACTAGGAGTCAGTTACAACGCGGCGCTGTTCATGGCCACTGCAGTTCATGGCGTGCGATATTTCGGCTTCGCCCTACCCGCAGGGGCATTGTCGGCGGCGAGATTCGGATTTTGTTTCGGCTAGATGGGTTCGACGCCGCTCCCCCTACTGGGAGTGTCAATGAGATGATCGCCGCTGCTCGTGCGTTAGAGGCTCTGACACGCAGGGGGGCTTCGTCTGGCCGCGACCCAGTCGCCGCCGCGACGGCGCGCCCCGAGCCGGGCGGGGCTCTCTCTCTCGCCCCCGATTTGGATTAGCCGGCATGCGTCGCGCAGACGGACGAGCCCTTTAGCAGTTGAGCCCGCGCATCTTGATGTCTGACGGAGCGAGCTCGGAGGGCGAAGGCCGCATTCGGCATGTTGGCGTCTGATTTGCGCGGCCCCTCGAGAATCGACAGGCGTCGAACGACGCGGAACGGCTCCCCTTCGCACTCGATGCATGCCGAGGGTGGAGGGGGCGGCAGTGGGATCTCGCCATCTGCGCCTTGCTCTGCCACGATGCGTTCTGCGCCTTCTTTTTGTTGTGATTATTTTTCTTGTTTGATGTTGACCGTGCTCTCTGCTCTGGTCCTGATGGGGCTGCTTTCTTCGACAGCGACGTCGAAGAACCGTTGGCTTGCGGGGGGGGGTGGAGCATGCGGAGCACAGCGTGGAGTCTGAGGAGGTCGAGCGCAAGCAGAAGAAGCGCCTTGCGGTAGTGAAGAGAGGCCAGGCCCTCATGAGACGACGCGTAGGTCTGAGGGGGGAACGCGACGAGAACGGTCGCCCTTGCTCGGTGCCCGGCGACGCGGCCTAAGCGTTGGTCACTTGAGGAACCCGTTTCGCGCGTTCTATACATGGCGATCGGCGCCGGCCTGCGATCCTGCCCCACTTCCATTCGGTTGGCCAGCCCCCTTTGGAGCCAGTTTGGCACCTGGAGCAGGATGACCATGACAGGCGGGTTTGTTCCAAGAGTCGCTCGGCCCTTGGGCCACGATGGCATTCCTCATGGTTGCTGGGCGTTTCCTGATGCTGCTGAAGTGCTTTCTGCGGTATGCGGCTGCCGTCTGGAATGGCGCGGGCACTGCCCTTGCCGTGGATTGCGGGGTCAGTGGAATGGCGCCCCTGCCCACGGGTGCAAATCCCGCCGACGCGGGCGCATACGTCTCGATGGCGCCCAGTTCTACCCGGCCCCTTCCGCTCTCCAACGCAGGCGCCAAGATATTTTCGGATGTGTTCTACATTGGATTGAATGAGGCAGCCGCCCCGGTGGCGATGGGGCAGCAGCGGGTGGATGTGAGGGGTCGCAATGTCCTGGATTACGTGATAGGTGGAAAATGAGAACTCTCGCATCGCATGCGGGGCTTTCATGAGGCAGGTGTCTGGTTGGCGGATTTTCGGGCGGCTTCCTCGTCGATCCTCCGAGCGTGGATCTTCCGGCATCTCACGGCCATGGGCTGTCCACGGGCTGTCAGTGGCTTCCATGCTCCCTGTATAAGAGCGGCGTGGCCGCGATCAACTTGGCCGTGGCGGCTGCGACTAGATTCCCAGATATGCGCGGCGCGAGACAGGGCGCCGTTCTCGGTGACCCTCTTCGCTCTGGCGTCAGACCCCGTACACGTGGATTCAGTATCAGCGCGCCCCTCGGCTCGATCTG